TCAGAGACAGTTCCTTTGTTTTTGGGTTCATGCCTCTTGCGAGGCAGCACTTTACTTAAAAAATATCTTTCCCTTGACTTTTCTGAGTTATGCTGTGAGGATGTCTCTGACTCTTTGCATCTTTCCTGCCTTTTCCATCTGCTTCTGTGCGATGTTGGGTGCTTCTCTCACACATGCAGACACAGAGACTCTGTCAAGCCAGTCCTTCACCCCTTCATTTGGAATCAGTCCTTTGGCAAATTTCTTGGACTGCATGGCCCAAATACTGTCAGGGTTGCACAAAGTCATTCATGATGGGAGATGTTCACTCATCTTACCTACCACTGAACACAGGGGCTGAAATCATTTAGTCTGTCCCACCCAATGGCTTCACAGCAGGAGTGCGATTGCTCCACCCCTGAGCTACACTGCTCCCCATTCTCTTCGTACTTATTCCAGCCTGTCTGTTCCCTCCCACTATCCTTTCTTTTCTGTCTCAAATATATTCCCATCCTCTGGGAGTCTGTGAACAACTCCTGGAGTCATTTGTGGTTTCTAACAGAAGCTAATGTAAGACTGACAATGATTTCATAGATTTCATAGACATTAGGGCTGGAAGGGACCTCGGAAGATCATCGAGTCCAGCCCCCCGCCCAAAGGGCAGGAAGTCAGCTGGGGTCATAGGATCCCAGCAAGATAAGCATCCAGTTTGCTCTTGAAGGTGTTCAGTGTAGGCGCTTGAACCACCTCCGGTGGCAGGCTGTTCCAGACCTTGGGGGCTCGGACAGTAAAGAAGTTCTTCCTTATGTCCAGCCTGAAACAGTCTTGTAGTAGTTTATGACCATTCGACCTAGTCGTCATCCCTTGGGGTGCTCTGGTGAACAAACGTTCCCCCAGATATACTGGTGGTCACCCCTGATAAACTTATAGGTGGCCATCAGATCAGCCCTGAGCCTGCGCTTTTCCAGGCTAAAGAGCCCCAGGGCTCTCAGCCTGTCATCGTAGGGTCTGCTTCCCTGACCTCTGATCATGCACGTGGCTCTTCTCTGGACTCTCTCAAGCTTCTCCACATCCTTTTTGAATTGTGGAGCCCAAAACTGGACACAGTACTCCAGCTGCGGCCTCACTAAGGCCGAGTACAGGGGGAGAATGACGTCCCGGGATTTGCTTGAGAAGCATCTATGGATACAAGCCAGCGTTTTGGTCGCTTTACTAGCCGCCGCATCGCATTGCAGGCTCATGTTCATCTCGTGGTCAATGATGACCCCCAAGTCTCTTTCTTCCATAGTGCTAGCCAACATAGCACTGCTGAGCCTATAAGGATGCTG